CACCGCGTGAGGGAGCTACGGGCGGGGGGCCGCTCTGATCAGTTTCACCGGCCGCCCACTGAGACCCCGCTCTGTGGGAAAATGATCTCCGGGATCAGCAGCGGTGTCCTCAGGCAGGTGAGTAATTTTCAGTAACCTCACTTTTATTTCCAGTGGTGTAACATTATTTCAATGCCGTCTAAATGAAAAATAATGCTAAAATGGGGATAACAGTTCTTTATTCAAGACACATGGCAAAAAGTGATTCACTGGAGCGTTCAAATAGATATCGTCAATCTGCAGGATAACATGTAGGCAGCTACCTGCCTAGTACCTACCTAAATTATAGGTATATTTCAGCCTCGGATTATATATAGCATAAGCACAACCATTCTAACTTCTCCAAATGCATGCTCTGTTTCCAGCGTCCTATATTCTCATTCTAACTCCGTCGTTAGGTATATCTGGAATCAGGTGTTGCAACGTTTTGTGCAGAAGTCATTAGTCCATCCATCAGTAAACAACCATCCACATAAACGCCTAAATGTAGACCAACCTATGCGCTTCAATGAATGCATTTCAAACATTTATTTCACAATTCATTATATGGCAATTTGTTACTTTTATAGGTATATGCCTAAGTTAAGCAAAATAGAAGAAGAAAAAAGGATGAACACTTGTTTTGCCTTCTGGCCTTGGGAGCCGGATAAAAAGATCCAGACGCGTGTACCAGCGTATCGTTTCTGCCATGACTGGAATATCAAAATTAAGATGGTTACCTTCTACTGCTAAAAACTCGAGGCCACCTTTCGTCTTTGAACAAATGTTCTCAGCATGTCCATGGGCTTCTGGAACTGTTCCTGTTGGTTGTAGCTGTTGCGGTGGTGGCCCTGCTATTGCTTCACTGATGAATGTTCAGACTCCCCTTTGCCATTTTGATTGCAACGCGATCTCGAAGGCTATGCTTATGTCCCCGCTGCCGTTCCTGGTTGCTGTGGGCTCTGGCTGCTGTCTGGTTTCTGGTTGCTCTCCGCCGCCTGTGACGGCCCCACCGCCAGCTCAGGCTGCTGTGCCGATGTTCCCTCTGCTGCTGCTGCCGTTGTTGGTTGTGCTGGGGTTTCTGCTGCCGCTGTCGGTGGCTGTGGGTCGTTCCTGTGACCCCCACTGTTTCATCTGTTGGTGAGTAACGGCGGCACACTCTGAGGAGCGGCGGGGAGGGGCTCCACGGCGTCAGAATCACACCTGCCACAGCACAGGGTCTTCTTATAGGCAGCTCGCAGCTTTTCGTTCAGCAGACCGTATCCCCAGGCCTCAAAGATCAAGCCGAAAAGGCGCAGCTGAAGAAGGATCGCGTTGAGTCGGCGTTGGATACCACAGACTAGATATCCGCAGCATCGGAGTGATGATATCCAGTGGCACGGTGAGTGTGAACACCCAAACGATCTTCCTGAACTCGCTGAAATTATCCACCAACTGGCGATTTTCTTCAGATGCGGCTGCCCTATATCCCACCTCCTCAACTTCTCGAGTGAGGCGGGCTTTGGAGCGACATCCGACCGCGGCCGTGAATACGAGGGTGCCGACAGTGGCCAGTGAGAAGAGCAGGGTCTGCACCTCTGCCAGGACGGCGTACACGGCCGCCAGCGAGCTCTCCCAGCGGCACTCGGAGCGGCCGACCGTGCTGTTCCCGTAGCCACCCACCCTGTCGGCGGCGGTCGGCAGGCCCAGGGACACGGCGATCACACCGAACGTGACCTGGGCGGCCCAGGTGAGCCAGGTGGCGGCGAGCACCCAGCGGCGCGCGCGCGCCATCAGCGAGCGGTGCTCCAGCGGCCGGGAGATGGCCGCCAGCTGACCCGCCGCCACGCACAGCTGGGCCATCTTGAAGCCGCCGCCGAACCCGAACCCGGAGTACTGGAGCGCGCGGCACAGGCCGCCGGCGCGCAGCTGGAGCACGTCGTATGCGCCCACCGTGAACAGGTTGACGCCGATGAGCATGCAGACCAGGGAGATGTTGCCGACCAGCAGCGCCATAGGCTCCTCCCAGAGGTGGCGGTTGGTGACCACGGCGACCAGCGGGGCGCCGAAGTTGGCCGTCAGCAGCAGCCCCAGCACTACCTTCACGAGCGGATTCGACATGATCGAGGACGCTTCAGACGAGTACTGCGCCGGGTGTGTGGGGCGTCAGTGGACTGAGGCTCTCTGCCTTGATATGCCTCTTATTCCACGCCCGTAACCATGGTGCAACTAAGCCAAACTCTAAACGCTGCTCGTTACTGCAGTCATGCAGTACTAACAGTAGGCTGAGTACTGAGAGGCTCGATATTTGTCCGGCATCCTTCTGTTGTCATGGCAGCGAAAACCAAACTTTGCCTCCCTGAGCACCTTATGAGCAGTGTGTGGGCGTCAACGGCCAGATCAAGAAACAGCATAATTGCTGATTGCGTTCTGATTGTGGTCCCTGGGAGGGTAATCTTGTCGCGCATTGAAGCTTCGGATCGAGTCATCTGTATTTTTTCGCAGCCGGAAAATAATGCTGCTGTTAGCGTTTGGTTGTGTCGGTTAGTCGTTCCTGGACGTTGGGTATTTTAAATCAATTCATGCAACAAAATAAAGTTATTCGACTTAGACGGTCTCCGATAAGATTAAATACCAATTGTTCGGATCAGACGCAGGCATGTCAAACGCATTGTTAGCTAGATAGGTTCACTGAAATCATTTGGTTGCCGAATGACACCGTCTATTCTGCCGAGCGGCAGAGTGAAACCTACAGACTGTGCTCCGCGTATATTATACATCTCGTCACCATGGCGACGGTTACAGGGTGCCAGCAGGCAGCAATCATCCACAGCCGCAGCCTGCACCTCATTTATGCCTTGATGGGCGGGTCTCTCATCAACTCCAGACGTCGTAAGATCGTTACTGGGGTCTGGGACCATGGCTGGCCGACCAGCGACTAGAGCTTGCCGGCACCACAGCGGACCGAGCAGCGGTTATAGAGCTGAAACCAGCCCAGGGCCACTGTCTTACAGCCTTCCGCGTGATGGGATATTGTTTGTTTCCAATCGTTGTCGGTTATGATCCGGAGGAAGTCTTGGACCCAACTGGCAACTGTGCATCGTTTACCGTTGCCTTTTTGCTGGGTTTCATGCCGGCTGAGCATGAGGCATCGTTGCAGTCTCTAATCGTGTAGAATGTGCACCGATGTTTGTTTCAGTCTCTAAAAAAGCTGTGTCGTTCAGGCGAGTGAACCAAGTTAGGAACCTAACTTCCAGGACAAACGCCGTTGCACGATACATGCGACATTACGGGGCGTGCGCCGTAACGATCTCATGGCCTCATGTTTCAGACCGAGGTCACCGGGCGGGACGCGGGAGACTATGGGTGTCCACTGTCCAGTGAGAGGTGCTACCCTCACCGGTACCCACCAAGGTCAGACAGACCATTCCAGGCACGTGCGCCCGCCGCGCGCACAGCCCAGCAACAATGGGCCAGATCTGTGTCCCATCTGATCACAAAAACTGAGGCCGACACCGGGATCTGATCGATCCATTCGAGCACTGACAATACCATGCCGGGGTCTGTTTGTGTGCTGAATTTCTCTTCACTTTAGCCCTCGCATGTGTAGGGGGGGGGGGGGGGGTCGGATGGACCCCCCATGGTTTTTCGCGAGTAACTCGCGTAAAAAGCGGCCGATCGCGACGAAACTTTGAGTACCCTCGCATTGATCAATTTTACACCTACCCTGAAAATTCCATGACCCTGACCCAAATGACCTTTGACCTGTGACCTCTTTTCCGAGACCATGTTTCGCCGGAATCGCGATTCGGCGTATGTCGGCTCGCATTAGCCGCGCGTTTGCAAGCTTTTCGTGGTTTCAAACGTTCAAACATGTGATTTGATGTTGCTCCCATGCATTAGGGTGGGTGTCAAGGTCACCTGAAGGTCAGGTCAGGTCATTGACCTTTGGTGACCTCGGGTGACCTCGACTCACTTTTTGAGTTTTACATATTTCTAGGCTAGTTTTTGGAGCTGAATTCGAATTTAGCAACCATTTGAACATTTACGAAGTAGTTTTGGTGCCTTCGTAACATGTTACGAAGCTGTCAGAGGCGGTTGACACGTACTACGAATACCCGTCACATCCCCTACTGGTTGACCTGACCTGACCTGACCCGACCTGGTCTAAATGCTTAAAGGCATCATCTGTGATCAAAACTAACACGATATTCGTGATCAGCACCCCGAAAACCCCTTAGCAGCCACACTTTACGACTTTCGAATAGGTCCCAATTTTCCCGGCTTTGGGTCATTGACCTGACCTGGGAGGTCAACGAATGACCTAGGACCTTAAAATTGGGTAACATCGGCTTCCTCTCGTCACGGGCAACACGCTCGTTTTTTCCGCGAAGCTCTAGCTCGATCAGGGGCCAAACGGCAAGGGGGGGGGGTCCAACCGACCCCCCCCCACTACACATTAGAAGCTGGCAAACGCCGCACACATGCGAGGGTTAAGGCATTCTTTGATACATCCCAGCATTTTTGGCCGGACGCTGGGCAAGCACTTGATCGCTAGTCTGATGTCTCTCCGTTCTCAACTTTGAAAAGTCTGACGGGGTTGGGGACATCTAAGTCATTCGCCTTGTGGTTATGCCATTACTTACGCGGTCAAATGCACACGAGTTCGTACCTTTATCCTGTCGTTCTAGCCAACCACTTCAATCCTTCCTTGCTCATGTTTCCTAGTAGTCTTGCCTCCAACAGACATTCTGACATCTCCATTTCGATCCCACCAGGCGTTCGCCCTACTGGTGACATCGCAGGTTCTAATCTGCCTAGGCGTCACCTTCGGCATCAACAGCGTCACCCTGATCCAGGTGCCGCGCCAGCCGGACCGCTTCCTCAGCGACGGCCAGCTCAACTGGACCGTGTCTGTGACGATGCTGGGCGCGCTGCTGGGCGGCCTGGTGTCGGCGCCGGCGGCCGGGCCGCTCGGCGCCCGCCGGCTCTGCCTGCTGGCCATGCCGGCGCACGCGGCCGGCGCGCTGGCCGCCGCGCTGGGCGGCTCGTTCGTCTGGGTGCTGCTGGGCCGGCTGCTGATGGTGGCCGCGCTGGGCGCCACCGAGGGGCCGGCGCGCGCGCTGCTGGCCGAGGTGGTGGCGCCGGACCGGCGCGCGCTGGCCGCCACGGCGCTGAACGCCGCCCTGGGCGTTGGCCAGGTGGCGGTGCTGCTGGCGGCGCCCTGGCTGCGCTGGCAGACGCTGCTGCTGGCGGCCGGCTGCGCGCCGCCGGCGCTGTGCGCGGCCGGCCTGCTGCTGCTGCCCGACTCGCCCAGCTGGCTGCTGGCGCGGGGACGGCCGGCCGAGGAGGCGCGCCGCGCGATCACCTTCTACCGGCCGGAGGCGGACGCCGCCGTCGAGCTGGCCGCCGTGCAGTCGGCGGCGGCCGGGTCGGAGGGCGCCCCGTCGCTGTGCCGGCCCGAGTCGCTGCGGCCGCTGGTGCGGGGCGGCGTGGCGATGGCGCTGGTCGGCTGGTGCGGCGGCTCGGCGCTGGTGCAGATCACGCCGCTGGTGCTGGAGCCGCTGGCGCTGCCGCTGGGCAGCTACCAGCGCGCGCTGCTGGTGCCGGCGCTGGGCCTGCTGCTGGTGGGCGCGGCGCTGCCGCTGGTGGACCGGTACGGCCGGCTGACGCTGCTGCGGCTGGGCGGCGCGCTTTCGGCGGCCGGGTGCGCCACCGTGGCCGCCTACTGCCTGCTGGAGCCGGCGCGACAGGCGCGGCTCGGCGGCCTGGCGCTGACCGGCGCCCTGCTGGTGGCTGTCGCCCACTTCTGCCTACTGGGCCCGGTGCTGTTCACGTACGCCTCGGAGCTGCTGCCGAGCGGACTGCGCGAGCGCGGCGCCATCATCATCGTCACGTGCCTCAACTCGGCCGGGTTCCTCATGCTGAAGCTGTACCCGATGATGCGGGAGTCGCTCGGCCTCGGCGGGACGTTTGTGGTTCACACGGCCGCCAGTCTGGGTATGGCGCTGCTGACCGCCGGATTTCTGCCCGAGACCAGGGGACTCTCACTGGAGCAGATCAGCGACCTGTTCACAGCCAGACCGACCGACTCGGACTCCGTGGAAAGGCCGGAGGAAATTTGGTATGACTATACCCTCATCAATTTTACACATGGTGTGCAAGTTTGAACCTCCTACCTTTCAAGGTCAGGTCACCAGGTCACTTTGAATGACCCAACCTCAAGTCACTTTTTTGCAACTTTGTCACCGTGCCAGAGCTACAGTAGATGTCGGAGGCCTTTGAAAGTCGCAGGATGTTATAAGGTCATTAGTAGCTACAATTTGTATACCTATCTCGGAATTTTGCTATCGGTGACCTAAGGTCAGGTCAATTTCGCGACCTCCCCATTATAAGTCAATGGGGGAAAATCAACTCCCTGTTTTTACCACTAAAACGGGTCGGAATGGCCCCATATACCATACATGACTTCATATACGATCAACCTTCACTACCTTGAGGTCTGTTTTGCTGTTGGGCAGCTGTGAGGTCATGTGACGTCATCAAAGGTCACCAAAGGTTTTTGGCCAATAACTCCGTACAGGAACAAGATACAGACGCGTGGATGGTCTCATTGTGTTCAGCTCGTCAAGACGCATCGAATGATATACATGATGACCTCGAGGTCACGTGACCTGAGGTCAACCTTTGACCTTGACCTTTCGAGGTCAACATATATATCATTCGATGCGGATTGACGAGGGGATCACGATTCTGCCCTTAGTTTGTTCCTATCTTGACTAATTCGAAAGTTATTCGAGAAAAACTCTCTCCTTATCCAGCGCCGCCATTTTGACTTTTTCGACCCCTGTGACGTCATCTTTGACCTGACCTGAAAATGACCCTAGTAAAAATTGTAGATCTTGACCGTGCGTATCCGATGCCGTTTACCGCTTGTCGCTATCTTGCTTCGTTCTCGAGATCTCAGGGGGGGGGCGGTCATCCGCCCCCCCCCCGTCGGTGCGAAGTTGGCGCAGACCCCCGTCGGTGCGCGGGTTAGGTAATCAACCTATAAGGCGAATGATGCAGAGTGAGATGTTCTTTTGTGAAATTGTGGACTTGTATCAATCTTTTTTCATGGAACCGATGACAAAATAAATATCGACGCATATGTATATTTTCTTTGTTTAAGAGAAGCCCACATGTTTGTTAATCATTTATGCTTAAATATCCTTATTAAATCGTTTCAATTCAATAAAGTAAACGAAATGGCTAAAAAGCGCTCAGGCCCGTCAGCTTAGGAAAGTTTTTGCTCTTGTAGAGTCTTGAACCTAATTGGTACACAAATTTAAGAACTTTTCTTAAATACCGCCGAAAGTCATTATCCAGCTGAACAAAACAGAACCGCCTGTTCCGATCGCTGAGCGTGTCGGTAGGTACTTAGCTCCCGGATCTGCGGCACGCAATCAAAGCTCTCCTGCGTCCGGTAAATGGCAGTGCGTCGGAACGACTGTCTCCGGCAGAGGCTGTAGGGATAATAGGTACGGCTTCCTTATTATAGAGCCGCGCTCTGTTAGCGCTGCTCTGAATCGGCTGTGGCTCAGACAGCTGCAAAACCATGGTACCGGGGATGGTGAGTTCGACGTGCTTCAGTATCACAGTTTCTGCTGAGACCGACTCCATTAGCTGCTTTGTTTTCGGGGATTATAAGTCCGAAGAAATCATCACTCATTATTGACCAACAGAAGGAGGACGGCTTGCGGGAATAAAATATCTTTATTGTTTCAGGATATTGATGCAAGTAATAACACTGACAGGCAGATCCTGTAAAACATTGCTCCTCTTCGTGAAGCCTTCGACATTATACCTGATAAGGTCAGATCGTATCCAAGGATGGATGGTCGAAGAGCACTCCTACCTGTATCCTGTGACCGCAAAGGGTAGATGTGAGATCGATGCCGATACCTTCTTGTGGCAAGCGATGCTCCTGCCGCGAAAGAAAATTTGTTAAGTTGTTTTCCTCTTTCGAATGGTTTTGCACAATGCGAAATGTAGGTTTGACTTCACATGTCATATTTTTTTTCGTACATGTGCTATATTTGTAGGTGCGCTTGCTAATCTAAGTGCACGCAAATGCCCCAAACAAGCCAATCACACAAATTATTTTCTTACGCTTGGGGCGACCACCACTTTACTCCCCTCAGTCGGTATGATGGTCGATTCAATAACCGACCTCTCAAAAGGTCATCCCACGGATTTTGAGTAACCCGATTGCGATTCCTCAGTTTGAGAAGCGCTGTTATTTCCACACCTCGAACCACAATGTCATTGTCACTCATAGTCATTCATTATTACATCGACATTAATAATCGTGTGGCAATATATATTCCCGACCGGGGCTGGGAAAATGCGTTTTATTCACCGAGGTTTTTGTGCGGAGGACCGAGTGCCGGTAGGCACGAGGTCCGTAGCCAAAAACCGAGGTGAATAAAACTGCATTTTCACAGCCCAAGGTTGGGAAGAGATTTACCACATGCCGTACCGGCGCAACAGTTGATATCATATTCATTTGATATTTTACACTTAAATCTTAATATTGTGTTAATATTATATTAATACTATGTTCATATTTATAGTCACCGTGATTATTTTTTTGTGTGTTTTTCATTATTAGGCTGCGTTGAGTATGAAAGATGAAATTCCTACTTCCCCCTTATTTAGGGTTTGAAAAGGCTGAGGATGAAGATGGTGAAGCGCCAGAACTTAGAATAAAGATATGGAGTCCAGCAGGAGTGAGGAAACCGTGATGAAAACTAAAAATTGGGTGAAACGCTGAATCAAACGCGTCTTGGATCCCAGCTGGAACAATATCAAATGTTTCATTGTGGCACGTTAAGATGCTTCACGCATTTAAATTGTTCGTTTTTTTTTTTGCGTGCATTATGTAGAAATGATTATTATTCCGAACATGTTCTGCAGCAATAAATACATTGGCATTGGAACGATAACGCTAGCCCTGTTCGGGCAGCACATCCTATTGCAAAATTTTGCACCACGCATGCGCAGTTCGGGTCTGTCGGGTGCCAAGCTCCGCCCTTCGTCGTATGACGTCACACGTGTGACGTAAGCTCGCGCAAAATCTTTCAGTTTTGCGCAAGAAGAAAATAGTAGCTGCAGGAGGCGAAAGTGGCGCGGATTAAAGTTTACCCTCATATATTTCTTATTGTAAGTGGTTAGTATGGTGTTGTTTTGGTATCATTATCTTTCTTTTCAGTGGCACATTGCTATTAACCACATTTGAACGCATTTTACTTAGTAACTGAACGAAACACACCAGTCCATCCGCGCCACGGTTCGCCGCGTGTCGCGTGGCCCTCGGCTTTGCGAACCGGCGGAGAGGGGGCGGAGCATGGGCGGAGTCAGGCGGCTGACATCATCGCATGTGTGACTTCACACTCAGCAAAATATTTTGCGCGGACCCGAACAGGGCTCTTGTTTAGTTGAATTACGTTGACAGCAAAAGTATGTAAACACGCAGTCACTCACTTTTGCTGTTGCTGTTAGTGAACACACAATTCGTAAATATCTTCTTTGAAATTTTGAATTCTTTGAAACAAAACGCCATAACGTCCACTGGGGCTTCATCCAACAACAAGCCTCGCTTAGTTGGATGAGACCCGGAGGACGGCATATATTGACCTTGCATGAATTTTGACCAGCACTTGCCTCTACCCTTGTATATATATATCTAGTATGCATGTGTTGGGCGTGCATGTGAGTGAGAGTGTTACCTGTTTTGGTATTGCTTTGTGCATGCGAATCTACTCACTTGCTTATCACTTTTCTAAATTGCATGCTTGCTTTCTGAGATGTATGTGGTCCTATGGGGTAGCATCGGTATAGCGGTCAGTCATTGCTGGATTTGGCGTGACTACTTATCTGTTTGCATGGTATCATGATATCATTCTGTTTTTTTTTTGTGTTTATTTCACTTTCTTAGCAGGGAGTGCCGCGACTAGTTCTTTTTATGTTCTCTGGGTTAAAGGGACCCTCCCACCTTCAAAAAAGTTAATGAATTGGCATGAAAGTGATGTCGCTCGGTTCAGAAAGAGCAAAAACGAATATCTACCAAATTTCATCGAAAAATATTCACCGGTTTTCAAGATATTAGACTTTTACTTTTGTTTACTTTTTGGGATCTCCGCTGTTCCTAGCGACTTTATTTGAAAGTGCGGCATTTGTTGCGCGCAAAGCAGCATATTCCATCGCGTGCTACAAAACGTTTTAGTCAAACATTTAACGGACGTTCGAAAGCCTGATGACGTCATCAGATTCCCGTAATGGTTAAGAGATAGGGACCACGCTGGTCCCACCCTGCAAGTAAAGGAAAGAAATTTCTTGAACACCATAAAGCTGCGGGGGTTGCGACCAGGATAAATGGTGGTTTCTGAGCCTGGCCGCAAACTTGGCTATCTCAACTCAAAACTAATGTTAAGGTGGGAGGGTCCCTTTAACGTAAGGTTCTGTGCGTCGCTGGGACTGCGGTGGGGGCACTCCTGGCCATCTGTTAATGGATGGCGGACTATTTAGAAAAAAAAATTGGTTCTTCCGCTCAGAATATTCAGTAAAACTTTGTCTGGGAAAATCAAAAAGCCCTAGGGCCGAATCGTTTCCCAAATACCTTCAACATTAGCCGAGGCGGGCCGAAGCCATTTCCCAAATGCACGTGCTAATGTTAAAGGGATATCTCGGCATGTGGTAAACGTTTAATGAGTCTTGGCCGATTCACCGTAAACAAATTTATTGGACAGCGCACATGATGCCTTGTAGTTTTCAGCTTCACAGAAGGCATCTATGCTTAGCGCTGCCATCGTGTGGCCAATAGGAGACGTGGCCGCGGAGCCCTCACGCACCAGAAGTAGGTACTCGTAGATCACTTGCAGCAACATTTCTCACTAAGTGAAAGAGCTCGCCATGTCCTAAACGCGCTCACTAGCGTTGCTGAAATGCAACCAGCAGCCCTACGTCAACATTTTCGATCTTTGAGACCAAGCATCATTGTAACATGCGTTGTTTATGTATAACAGCTCATATTTAACGTGCATATAGCCACAAACAACATAACCTCTCCTCTCTTTCATAACAAAACATGACGCACCTGCCGCGAAGGATCACACCTCGTAATATTTCGAAGCTCTCGCTCAAGTCATTCACTTCAGCATAATTCGCACTCACTCTCTGAAAGCAGCATACTATTTTGTGCGTCTGTCAGAGTTCCGCACCAGAAGCGTGTACCGTTGGCCGTCTGACCCTATGAGCCGCGCTGACGTCAGCGCCGTACCCCGTACGTACGGTGTTGTACGGACAGTCACCGATCGCCTCAACGATCATATTAGTCTTTATGACACTGGAACCTTCACCGAGTGAGCAGTGGAAATCTCACACGACCGCCATTTAACACTGGAGATCTCTCCAAATCACTCTATTTAGACACGGAGTCTCCGAATGCAGGCCGACCGCCAGCCGACAGCCGTCACACTCCCAGCGGAGCAGGCCCACAAAGAGGAATACGGACCGTGTGACACTGAGTGAGGTCGTCCTGGGAGTCCTCCCTGTCGATTGTCTGGGCCAGGCCGCGGTGGGGCCACTGTCAATGGAATTTGAGTCCACTAATGCACACTTGATCCACCGAGGCTGACTGGGCACCTCTCCTCATGGAACTGTAGGAATGCTGTGGACAGAAACAGGAGTGGGAATTAGTCGGCAGCGCGCTTGTCGCGTATTCAAACACTTCACTCGTATGGCGCTTTCTACAACGGTCATTTTTTGGATAAAAACGTTGGCGATTGTGTAGGATACGTTGATTAAAACGATAGATGAATTTGTATCAATCTGCTTTCCTGAAATCCACGTACACATTTGGCAGTTGTCTTCAGTAATGATCCAGCGAAATGGTTCCACGTCGCTCCAGCGCTCTGAAATAAAGCAGACGTATGGATAGATACATGGAATATGGATCAACTCACACAGACCTTAGCCAAATGGTACCGGACTTAACTCATACGCAACGTGGGATAATAGTTAAACGTTTACCTGAACAACCTCGCTTCAACCCAAGTGTCTCCGAATGCGCACGTCATAGAGACCAGTAAAACGCCTTTTGGGCGACCAACGGAGCGAGCGAGAGGATGGGCCTTGCACGTGCGAAATTGCGAGGGGGCACCTCCAACTAACTTGTGCACTGCACCCCACTAACCGGTCTTTAGCGATGTGCCAAATTTCAGCGCAATCGGCCTAGCCGTTCTCGAGATCTGGAAGCGGCACACTGCACGTGCGCACGTGCAAGCGGGGTCCAAACTGACTTTTGCACGGCACCCTACTAACTGGTCCCCAACCGTGTACCAAATTTGAGCGCAATCGGCCCAGCCGTTCTCGAGATCTGGGAGCGCCCCCTGCACGTGCGCACGTGCTGTAGCACCCCAACCTTAACACATGCAGATGAATTATCTGATGGAGACCTAACTGTGTACCACTACCGAGTTTCAATTCAATCGGCCCAACCGTTGTGCCGTTATTGAGGTTGCAATTTTGGGGGTTCTTAAAAAATGTCCAACTTTACCACGCGCCACGTGCGGTGGTTGGGAAGAACGCATGGTGGCCAACACACCACAGAACTTTTACGTCCAAGTGACATTCAGTAAAGAAGACCGCTTGTCAATCGGATGTCCAGGGTTGGCATTTTTGCCGGCAAAAACTAGTTTATGCCATTTGCCGGTTTAAACCGGTTTTAACCGGCAAAAAGTGGCAAAAACTGGCAAAAACTAAGAAATATCACAATGCTATGCTTGGACATGAATTTGAACATGAAGCATTTTAAGGAGAATTCGGTGAAAGCTTTATGCTTTCAAACAGAAGTGACATTGACCATTGAAATGCTTCATAACTCAAACATTTTCATGGGCTTTCCATAAGGAGCTAGTAAGATGCCTTTTGGGGTGACAAAAGAGCCAGTGCAAGGGTGACTGGGTGAGTCCTGCACAATCAGAAGTGCGAAGGGGCATCTGCCACTGATATGCGCACGGCACCGCATGGCACCTTACTTACCGTGGCTGTCTTGCCCCACTCTCCCCTACATGGAAATACGTTCCGTTGTGGATGTCTACCGACATGCATAGACATTTTAAGCAGGGATAAGTAATGAGGCAGCTTTAGAATGTTTAGTGCATCTATATAACTACCAGAAATGCATTTGTACATTTCAAATCCATTCCTAACTAGACAAGTTGTAGGTTTGGCCATCTGAGTTTTAGCCAGTTTTTGCCAGTTCTTGCCACCAGGGTTTCTGCCAGCCGGTTTAAACCGGTTAAAACCACTGGCAAAAACCAGTTTTTGCCACCCCCTGCCAACCCTGCGGATGTCCCGTTCCTAAGATATTAGCTTTTGAAGAGCGTCCCCACGGCCGGCCGGCCGCTCATACTCAGGATTTTCCCTTAATTCAGTATGAGACTCCGCTCGCTTCGCTCGCTCCGTAATACAAGTGGTTGCTGAGATATAAGCGTCGCAAAACCGTGACCACGGCCGGCCGGCCGGCCGGCCGGCCGGCCGCTCATACTCAGAAATTTCCGTTAATCTAAGAAAAGACTCCGCTCGCTTCGCTCGCTCCGTAAACACAGGACAGCTGTTTTCCTCTAGTCTAAAATGTCGAATCAGACGGTCTTTGATACACTGTATGTATATATATGGCAGTGCCACCCGATCCGGAGAACGACTCCCTGTCGCGGCTCCCCACTGACCTGGGTACCGGAGCCGGACTGTTGACCACGCTGCGGCTCTCGGTGACACGACACGCCACCATGTTGTACTCTGACGAGGGAGGGGGGGGGAGGCGTTACTCAGGGTCTGAGTTGCCAACAGCCAGAGAAGCAAGCTCGATCTGCGGACTTATAACGGCTGCTTTGTATCAGAAATGTTCACGGAACCTGATGTTGAATTAATTTGAGAATCGAGATGGCATATTTAGTTACATGTAAAAATGCGTCCAAAGTCCAACGTCTCCCTCCTTTCCTCCTCGTTCCCCTTTCCTCTCCCTCTCCCACCTTTCTCCTGCTGTCGCCGTTTCCGTTTGTTGCATATTTTCACGGTGCAGATGGAGAGGATGATAGAGACGATGAGCAGCAGCAGTCCGCCGACCAGCGCGGCAGTGATGGCCTTCTGCTGCACGTGCTCGGGCACCTCGTACATAAGCTCCTCGCTGGCAGTACTGCCCGCCGCCGAGAACGCCAGCACTTTGAAGTAGTACTTGCGGCCGCCGTGCAGCTGCCTCACTGCGAAGCGGAAAGGAAGGGCTCAGAAGACATGTCAGTTGGCAGGACCAGGGGAGGAGACAAAGGCCTGTGTAACGGTCGGAGGAGAGGAAGCATTGCTTTGGGTTGAAAACGTTCATCTAGTCTCTAGTTCATGCCCTAGCCTCTAGCTCTAAAGTCTACACTTGCTGCCTATCAGTTCCTCACCTATGTATTTGGTTTTGGTGATTTTCCGGTCTCCCTGGTTGGTCCATTTGCCGTCCGCCACCTTCATATGGACCTCGTAGTGGAGCACCGGCACGTGTGTACTCTCCACGGGGGGTTTCCACGAGACCAGGAACCCTCCGCCGTGAGACTCGGTGACGTTGAGGTCCACCGGCGCTCCGGGCAGGGGGCCTGTCAGATAAGGAGGAAGTCAAGTCAGACCGTGCAAAGGGACTGTCTGACAGAGGGAGGGAGGGTCAGGTCAGGCGGGGCAGTGGCAGGGGAACGTCTCAGAAGGAGCATGGTGTCTGACGGCGTCTGGGCGTGGACTAATAATAGCAAGTAAGCGCAGCAAGTCTAAAAACAAGTTATGCCTTCGGGTAAAGGCATTCTACTGTGAGAAAATAGCTCGAGAAGATGATCGACATGCTGTCCCAGCTAGTCATGTCTGAAAACAGAGTTTGCAATACGAGAATTACCATCGGTGCAAAAAGATAAAAAGATGGAAAGGAACAGTGAGCAGTTACCGTCTCCGTCGAGCGCCTCCTTCCTGGATGCGGCCGTGTCTGCTCCGGCGTCCACTCCAGCCACCTCGTCCGTGGCTGGTGGAAACAGACACAAGGGGTCATACAGAGTACACGTATTACGTATAAAGCGCTGAAGCGGGACATTACATATAATTGACCGAACAGGCGGCCCGAGTTCGTTGATCTGGCATATCTATTACCCAGCCCATTCTTTTTTTGCACTCACTCAACAACATACCCCGCTCCGCCCTTCTCTTGCACTTAGCAACGTCCTTACATGCGAGGCACGCCGTCTCAGCCTCTTCTCCGCCCAGAGAGACCATGATCCCCTCCCAGTCCCCTCAACCACGTACTCAGCGTTCGGACGGAGACCTGCTCGGAGAAGAGGCTGTCGCCGAGCTCGTTCTTGGCGGCCACCATGAGTTCGTAGACGGTGCCGGACGGCAGGTGGTAGATGGTCACCTGGTCCGTGACGTCGTCACCTGCCTTGATTTCGTACGTGTTCCAGTTGCTGGCGCCCTCCTCACGGTACCTGGGGGGTCGCACAGATAGGGGGTGAGGAGTTGGAAAACGATAGGTACTGAAGTGAAGAGCATATAGATTTGGGCGTATCGATGCATCGTTGGGGACAAAATAATTAGTACAGGCCCTCTCATCTGCCTACTGTGGGGAGCGATCATATGTGTTCCCGTTCACGGGCCGATTTTTCTACTTGATTTTCGGACTCACAGGCGCTGACTGCTCGATAGTCTGGTTGGTTCTCTAAGTAAACAGTTCTGATCAATAGCCCATTTGTTCTTTGAGTCTTCTATGGGCTTCCTCTCTCCTCTGACCGATTATCCAGCGTACACCGCACTCCGCCCTGGGCTGTCACTGACCAGACTGAGTGGCGCTGGTCGAAGAGCCGCTCGCCGCTGTAGCCGGGCAGCCAGCGGACCGTGATGGCCGAGCTGGAGACGTTGGTGCTGATGTTGTGCGGCGCCTGGCTGGTGGCGCCCTCCGTCACCAGCTGCCGACAGAGGTCACCACGCGTCACCAACTGAGAGGGTCTGACACATGTAGGGGAGAGTGGGGCAAAGCGGCCACCCCAACGCTTCTCGCGATGCCAACGCTTGATTTTTAAACTTGGAAAGATTCTTTCTATACCAATGTGATCCCTAGTAAGTTGCCTTTATTTCAACTGCGTTTTATTTCCAAAGGCGTTCACATATGAAAGATATTGACAAAACTTTAAACCTACGCATATTGGCCGGCCACCGGCGTCTTCTCAAGTCCCGATATGAGAAACAAAATAGTTGCCTCGTGTACGACTAGTGTATTTGATGGTGACAAGGTTAATCGAGGATGGATGTTTACTTTATCATCTTCCACCTGTAGGTAAACAAAGAAAGGATTTTCATGAAAATAAACATTTAATTGCATTATTTGGTAACTCATGCAACTGAAAAGTGGCCAAGATGAATGCATGACGACACATTTCAATATAAATAATGTTTTTTATCCAGATGGAAGCAGCTTATGGCCAATTGGGGGGTGGCCACTTTGCCCCGGCCACTTTGCCCCGCGCATACCGTCCGAGACAAAAATATTCCAGCTTAGCTATTAGTGGGGTAAAAAACATTAAAATTGGTAGAATACATGTACGATAACCATGCAATGCATGGACAAGAACGCTTATAAAAATTCCAAAACGGTTATGGAATAACATAACATTTAAAAATTGTAAACATAGTTGGTAACCTGGCAAGAAATGCTTTTCCGTGTTTCACAGAACAATGGTGATGGGCCTGAAGCCCCGGTCTGGCTCATTCGAACGACCGTGAAGAGAAGTATAATTGGAAACCATAAATTGGAACTGACGCCAGCTATGAAGGGCTAAAACGATGGGTGGCCGCTTTGCCCCGGGTGGCCGCTTTGCCCCACTCTCCCCTATGTACGTATACTGGATGAGACTATCGTCATACAGCCATTCATACGTCACTCATACAGCCAGGAAAGATGTGCAGGGAAGTTCGGTCACAGGCAGTCTCATAACACTTTTTACATGGAAAAATAATTGCTGTTACGAAGGCAGCAAGGAACCTTTATTGTCCAACGCAACCTGCAGCGGGAAATCGCTCTAACGAGAAGAAATGTTTCCGGAGTCTTTCCCCGTGTCATAGTAAAACAGGTCCCTGGGTTGGCCTGTGGTGTTCCCCTGGCCGCGGACCGACCCTGGCTTCCCCCTCGCCCCGGACTCGCCCCAGCTCCCCTCGCCGCGGACCGACCCGAGTTCCCCTGGCCGCGGACGGACCTGTGTGGAGGTGACGATGGTGGCCGCGCTGTTCCGCGCCACACACTCGTAGTAGCCAAAGTCTGACTTCTGCAGCAGCCGGATGGTGATGTTTCCCTGTGAGAGGCTGATCCGGTCCGACGGCAGGCTCTGGTTGTCGTGCTGAGGGAGAGAAAGTAGCTCGGTGACTTCATCGCGTCGGACACAGCAATCATTCAATTTATTGCAGTCCCATTGATCGAAGTCCTTTTCAGAAGTCCTTTTCAAACAAAGTCTATTTTCCTCACCCAAATATGTATGCATTGTTTGGCGAAGTAACTGATGAATTATTTCCGCAGCAGACGACTATGCACTCACAAAATCTCTACTTGGAAACGGGAAATGTCTGGCGGGTAAAATTAAATATGCAAATCGAACAGAGGCAAGCCAAATCCCTAATCAGCGTTAGGGCATTGGGGAATAGGAGTTGGAGGAAACTTTACCGGGACCAATAACCAGCTTCCAAGTTTGCGCTTTACTGAAACTGGCATGTTTTTATGGATGAACGAATCAGCATAATGCTTGTGCCTATCCATACATTTCATTTTATACACTTTCGCTTTGAAAGTTTGGCGTGGGAGTGGGCGTACCCCCACCCCTCCACTGACCCCTCCCCCTACTGACCCGCCTCCACGTGACCTCTGGCGCGGGCGTGCCTTCCACCACGCAGGGCATCTGTACGGTGTCCTGCAGTCGGCGCTGGTACAGGTTCCTCGGCCGGACCAGGAACCGGGGCCGCTCCCGCACCTCGACCCGCATCTCGCCCGAGTCACCGCCCGTGCCGTGCAGGTTGTACGGCTGACACCGGTACGTGCCCCGGTGGTCGGTGGTCACCTGTCGGTACCGGTCAGTAGTGGTCAGAGGACGCAGCGGGAATGGTCGGAGAACGCACTTCAAAGGTGACTGGATGCGGAGAAGATGGTATCAATTCGTCTTGATGAAAAATACGCGTCATATTTTGCCAATTTTGGCACAACACATTTCGGTTTGCACCTACACATGCAAAGCGAGCTCCTTATTTTTTTTTCTTATCTGTGTTTCACTACTTTCAAAACAAATTCCTGTCATCTAACTCGCTTCCGCCATGCCATTCGCTCGCATTGTCGCCTGTCGGGCCCGTCGGCCGTCACAGGGAAACTCACTCGAGCGAGTTATCCTACTCACCTTTTCGATGAGCAGCGACCCGTTTTTGAGCACGCTGACGCCTGGGGTGTGTTTGGGCTCGAGGCTGCGCCGGTTGTGGTACCAGGTGACGAATTGGAACGGCGGGCTGGAGCGGATGTGGCACCGGATGACGCCCGGAGAGCCGGCCGTCAGGTGCTGCACCGCCGGCGTGTACGGCACGTCTGCCGGAACTGAAATATGTAGTACAGTACGGCCGTCAGGTGCTGCACCGCAGGGGTGTACGGCACGTCTGCCGGGACTGAAAACAGTACGGTACGGCCGTCAGGTGCTGCACCGCCGGCGTGTACGGCACGTCTGCCGGGACTGAAATATGTAGTACGGTACGGCCGTTAGGTGCTGCACCGCGGGGGTGTACGGCACGTCTGCAGGGACTGAAATAGTACGGTACGGCCGTCAGGTGCTGCACCGCCGGCGTGTACGGCACGTCTGCCGGGACTGAAAACAGTACGGTACGGCCGTCAGGTGCTGCACCGCCGGCGTGTACGGCACGTCTGCCGGGACTGAAATATGTGGTACGGCCGTCAGGTGCTGGACCGCAAGGGTGTATGTACGGGACGTCTGCCGGGACTGACAACAGTGGAACATTACTTCAGATGGACTGGACCGATATACATATGTTGTGCGATGTCTGAAACCAATTAGTATTCTTACATTGCTTTCCCAACCACCGACGAACGAAATTTTGCTTAAATACAGGAATAGGTGGTTGAAGGGGTTTCATTTTTGTTCAATTCCGTTCAACTGCATTCCACAAACTAAAACCCAGCCATCTCGCGTTCTATATGAATACGGTGTACGACCCTTCAGCAAAAGAGTGGCTGAATAACCAATGTGTTTTTGGCGTAATAACTTTGAATGACTGAGGCACTCCGGCAAAATGATTCGTTAGAAATGAGATGATTCGTGCGGACAATTCGGCAATGGGTTTCGTCAGCTTTTAGACGTAGGTATTCATCAATGCAGGCCGATTATTGTGATGCTAGAAACTAACCACATAATACCCGAAGAGATTGTCTACAATCAACACGATTAGATGTGATGTGTCGGTTCTTACACACCTCTTAAGGCCTGGCTACACTATGCGTTTTCTTCGTGCGTTTTTTGCGTGTTTGCGTGTTTTGCGTGATATCGTTCTAGAAAAAAGAACGATATTACGTTTTTGTGATGTTTTTCACCTTAAATTTTAGTTACATAAGAGTTATATTAGCTTTTGTATATAACCAAAGTAAAAATTATATTGTTTATAACTTTTTTCCTAGAACGATATTACGCAAAACACGCAACCCTGCAAAAACGCACGCAAAAAACGCCTAGTGTAGCCAGGCCTTTACCGTTCAGCCACGCAATAAATCACGTTCAATTCTTTTACCGGGGCGATGGAATTGACGCCGCAGCCCGTGCTGTGACAATCCCTAATTAATTTCCCGGCCACAATCCCTAATGAATTTCCCGGCCACTGCCGCCGCTGGTGCCTAATCATTAGCGCCGCCAAATGCAACGTCCGATGTCCGGACAGGCGCGTCAGCCGCCAGGCTGTGGGAGATACTTTATTGGGATTACACTGAGCTCAGAACTCAGACTTCATTTGGATTACAGTGAGCTCAGAACTCAGACAGATCGCTGAGCTCAGAGGAACTCTGATTTCGAGCTCACAGCGAGCTACAGACTCGCAACAGACTGCGGGAATAGGGCCAACTCTGAACTCAAAGTAACCTCCGCACTTATAGTTCACTCCGCGTTTCCGGGGATTCAGTGTTTAGAAAGCATTTTGGCTTCCGTGCTCAAAGCGACATCCGGGCTCACAGCGAGCTGCAGAGAGTGAGATAAACGTAGAAAGAGGTCCGGTGATCAGACTTCAGACCAAAGTTTCGGCTAGAAGAGAGAGCTGCGTAGAAAATGCCCTCGACACTGAATGGCCGATCGTTTGGGATCCTGCTGAATATTTAACTGTGATACTTGCAATGAAATGTCGGCTGAACTGACACTGTGCCGGCTGTAGTTTACTTCAATGTGACCTCTGAGAGTCGTTAATGGAAACTGCGCTCCATGCCAGGTGATTAGGTGGGCAGATGCCCGCGGTAGTTGGTGCACATTTTCGGAAACCAATGAAACTACCCAGAGAGAGTGACTGTCGGAATGTAACGAGTGTGCTGCTTTAGTTGGATCTCCAGATAATGGTAAGTCTACTTAACACGCGCTTCATGAAAGGGGTTGAAATTTGCATATGCTGAATCAACTCTGCATTAGCATTACTTTAATGGTTCAGCGTAATGCCCCGAAAACGGACGCGAAACACTTGGCAGCACCTGCTCGTAGTTGATCAGATCTATATGAAATAGCTAACAGCTGACACACATAACATAACAAGGCACCTGTCCAAGAACAGGCAGCACTCGACACTCACTCTTCCGGATTCCACGTCAAATTAGTTACACCGGTCACCTTTTCCGTCTCAAATTCCACGGCCGCCGCCCCACCCGTCTAGCACTGAGAGTGGACAGGAGCTCCTTCACCACACAAGGCGTTTCACTCACAGTGAACGGTGAGGTAGGGGTGCTCATTCACAGTCCCCTCTCACAGTCCCCGTCCCACTCACAGTGGACGGTGAGGTAGGGGAGCTCACTCACAGTGGACGGTGAGATATAGAGAATCTCACTCACATTGGACGGTGAGGTAGGCGGAGCTCATCCACAGCCCCCTCTCACTCACAGTTCCCGCCCCACTCACAGTCCCCGCTCGCCCACAGTGGACGGTGAGGTGGGGGAGCTCACTCACAGTGGACGGTGAGGTTTAGGAATCTCACTCACAGTGGACGGTGAGGTAGGCGGAGGCGCGCTGCGCCGTGCCGATCCCGTTGGACGCCTGGCACGTGTACCGGCCGTGGTCGTCGGGCTGCAGGGCGGCCAGCACCAGTGACCCGTTGTCGGCCAGTTTGAGTCGCCCGCGCAGCTCGGCCAGCCGCGTCACGTCCACCCCGTCCCGCAGCCAATGCACGGTGACGTTATCTGGCCGGGCGCGCGTGCGACACTGCAGCACCGCCTGCTCGCCGGCCAGCTTTGTGTCGTTACTGGGTCCCTTCTCGATCTCCGCGCCGCCTGAGGCCGGAGAGGAGGAGGAAGGGTTACAGGCCAGTCACACCGGTACCGGCTGGCCAATGCCTACAGATTCTGTGACAAATATTGCCTGGTACATAAATAACAATTTGGGCGAAGTGTATGCATGAAACGACAACGCCAGAAAATAATCAAAAGATAAGCAAATTTCGACATTTTACCGGTTTAAAACGTCCCCTGAGATATCATCTACTACGCAGCATGGCTTTCCATTCCAACATTATTTCCCAAACGATCGTACCATGACTAATGAATAGCTCATGTCTCGCTCACGGCACAACGGCGCCATTTAATCAGCCGGCACATGTATCCGGTGTGGTGAGCTCGTCGTACCTGCCATGATAATTTTGGACTTCCACTGCACGTCTCCCACGGCGTTGGCCGCCACGCAGGCGTAGTCTCCGATATCCTCGGCGGCTATTTTGGTCATCCTGAGCTCCGAGCCGCCCCGCTCCAGGCTGATGGTGTCCGACTTTCTCACCGGCTTACCCTCCTGTAAAACATGGTGATGTATCATTTTAGTTGCACGTTGTATTGCTATAATCGGTAAGGCATACCAGATCATCAGTAAAATAGATTTCGGCTGGAAACTATCCTACTTATTCACGATCTGTGGTAGTAACTAGTAATAAATTGCAAAACCCAATAATTGGTTGACGTTAATTAACAGGTATTCAGACACACCCAAGCTGATTGACATACATAGAATGCGGACACAGTTCATTACATTGAGGATTTGGTGTGGCTGACCTTGAGCCAGCTGATGACGGGCTGCGGCGTGCCCCGCGCCTGACAGGTCAACGTCAGCGAGTCGCCGATGTTGACAAACACGTCTCTGGCCGGGGTCCGCACCAGTCGGGGCGCGGCTGAAAAACAGGCCCGGGACCACTGTCAGCCTGTTTGTCAGTCTGTCATCCTGTCGGTCCGTTTGTCAGTCTGACGGTCTGTCAGTGTGTCAGGACTCTTTACTGTATGCCTGGTCTATTCAAATACATTAGCCAGAGGGGTGTGGTAATAATTGGTGTAAGCAAATTGACCACGGTCAAAAATGCATTACCAGAATGCACTTAAGCCAACATTTTGGGATGTTCTCGTTCCTAAGTCGGCTAAGAGCTTCGGTCCAGAAAATAAATTTATCGTTGGCATCGTTGGCATACAGTAAAATACATACCAAACTCGGCCGGTGATAAATTTTCAAGACCTCAGTCCTTACTGATTTTTGAACTCGGCCTTCGGCCTCGTTCAAAAATCCAGTAAGGACCTCGGTCTTGAAAATTTATTTACACCGGCCTCGTTCAGTATTATATAGTCCCAGTGGCGCGGTTTGGACTAGACCGCCACAAACACACTGCCACAGAATCAACCGTCACAAACGGTGGCCATAGGAAAATGCTGGTTGGGTTTGAAGGGCTCTCCACTGAGACCAGTCTCAGACCGCTGGTATCTGGTCGTGGACCATCGGTCAGCCGGCGCGCTGACGGCAGGTCGTTTGGTCAATGGCCGCGGTCGTTCGCAGTCGACCGCACTGAGCCGGTCGATCAATTGACAGTCGATCCATCACACGTACCGCTTTCATGGTCAAACCGACTGTCCGTCCGTCCGCCCGTCCGTCAGTTATGGTTTGTGCAGCGGTTCGGGTCAGTGGAAGTCACTTACAGTGCAGCCCGCACCCCGAACGTCGATAATCCAGGTGACAGGAGGCATTGTTGGCCTTTTACTGGATTGCTATTTTTAAATTTTCATTGTTGCTGTATTGAAAAAAAAATCATCAGCGTTTACGTGACTTGCAAAAGCCCAACCAAACCATAGCAATCGAGAAATGAGGAAGGTGTAGGTATCCAAGTGAATCTCTTAGCCATCGTGTCAACAACTTCATTACGCTGTGTTCGGGAATGCTGAGCTAGCTTTCAAATGCGGTACACATAAAATGTTAACGATAAGTCAGTCAGTGACACACGAACAAATAAGGGTCGAACAGTGCAATTCGACGCATTTGTGTTGCTGTCTGCGTGCTCCGGCCACGCTACCGTACCAGTTTCTCGCTTCCGCCGCTAGATGGCAGGGGCGTCGTACGCCTGAGAGGATGCTGTGCCGGATAGCTCTGCCACGGGCTATCGGCGGGCGCGCCTGCTTTCGCGGCAATAGAGAGCGGTGATGCAAATCACACGCCGACGGAGCTTCCATAAATTTGCATATTCAGCCTGGGATCACAAGTTCATGTTTGGAAAGTGTGCTTTTCCGCAACCGGCTTACCCGATTCGACATACCTACAAAAATCGTTATAAAACAGTATAAAACAGTAGTGGTACAAGTAAAATCTTATTGAGATTTTTAGTTCTAAAACTTCTTGAGCCCAAGAAAATTACTAAACCCTGCAACTGCACGGACACGTCAGTACCACACTTCTGCGAAGCCGTCATTTTCACATTTTCTGCGGCAATAAAAAGCGAAATGTCTAAATTAGGTCCCTATTCTTCATTGGAGTTAACCAAGACACGCATGCCCTTCATCCCCCTTTGTCTCTCCCTCTCCCTCTCCCTCCCCCTCTCCCTCTCCCTCTCCCCCGCCCTCTCCCTCTCCCTCTCCCTCTCCCTCTCCCTCTCCCTCTCCCTCTCCCTCTCCCTCTCCCTCTCCCTCTCCCTCTCTCCCCTCCCCCCTCTCACCGTGAACGTCCAGGTGGACCCAGGTGGCGTTGCCCAGCACGGCCGGCGACTGGTTGAGGAAGTGCACGATACACTCGTACCAGCCGCCGTCCGGCTCGGTCACGTTGGTAACGTTCAGCGAGGCCAGGCCGTGCTCCCTGGAGCGGACACTGACGCGGCTCACACGGCCCCGGTAGCTGTCGGCTACGTGTGGCGGGTACCCGTCGTACCAAATGTACAGTGGAGAGCGCAGGTGCTGTGGGCAGGGTAGAGGGCCGTCAGATGGGCTGGGTAGACCCAACGGAGAAGGAGACTAAATGTCAAAATCTTGTCAACAAAAAGTAAAGAAGTTATAAGTTACCCGCATTGTAAATTATTTACTGGTTGTGTTCAAATATGACTTGCTGATTTTCAGTTACATAGTCTTGTCTTCAGTCTTCATTACTGACTGAATACGAGGAAACTACAAGGAATGAAATTAATCGGGAATTGACCCATTTTAATTATTTCCGGTATCTTTGTCGATTCTTAGCAAACAGCGGCTGAGCAATTATTGTTATTAATTCCTCGGAACAATCCGTTTTCAATTGAGGTTTCCGTCCGTTGGACTGAATGAGCCGCGCTTGGTATTTATTCCTCGCGGTTCATTGGTATTCCTATATTTCATTTCCAGCCGGCCAGCTGATTGGAGGGGGTGATTCTGCGGCCGGCTGGGACGGCCGCCGTTTCACTGAGTGATCGGGCCAATCCCCGGCCCGGTTAGTCGGCCCGGACCCGAACGGCGGCTGCTTCCGCCGCTCAGTTTCCAACTCTGTTCCCGAGAGGAGCCGATCCGGCTAATGTGGAGCCAGCCCATCGCAGAGTCAGCGTCCAGCAGAAGTAATTTAGAGCCGGCCGGCGCGCTTCCGGGCCGAGTGACAGGCGCCCCAACAGCGCCATGAATAAGGCCAGACACTAGTAGGCCAACTTTCCGAGTGGCCGCAACTCTTCGAATCGGGCGCGGCCGTCGGCTCGGCTCGGCGGCCCCTCCTGGGACGGGCCGCGCGGACGGCGCCGTCTGAATTGTGACGCCTCTCCCGTCACAGTCGAGCTGACGACGTGCAGCTCAGCGAACATCATATAAAAGTTATGATGCACTGTTTCGAACATTTTCGCCCCTGGGATTGCAAAGCATTTGGATGCAACCCTTATCATCAGAGATACCTACCGCTGTTCTAGTCGATTTGGCAAACAAAGTTTCCACTTGGGACGGGATGTCCTGAAAAGTGGTACGGGCGTGCTAACGATTTTTATACTTTTACTGTGATACGATTTTTACTGTGATATGGTTTGTCTCTTGGGACTGTCAACGTGTGTTACGCAAGGCCTCATGCTGGGTTCATTGCAACTGTTTCACATAGACCAGTCGTTTCACTGCGGGTGTTCAGGATGACAGGCATTATACGGCAAGAGCCACATTTGTGTTCAGATGGGGTGGCTTGTGGTAAGGAAGATATGTGATGTGTTATGTAGCTACTTCCTCAATAGCAAAACCGTCTTCATATAAATTGTCTGGTAGGTTGATATTGTTAATAATTTTGCCGTAGATTCCTCTTACAGATACGTTTTAAGGTAAAAAGCTCAAAGTTACCTTGATAAGTTGCTCCAGCTCACCTTTCTGAACTGTGGCTGAGTCGTGTCAGTGGTAATGTGGGCAATGCCATTTACTTTAACAAATTCAAGGGACAATTCAGCCCGCTCCTTTATTGGTCCGTAAGAGCACATGACCGTTCCCGCAGTTTCCCGGCTGGGTCATCACTTATTTAGGCGCTGTTTCGTGCTCTATCGAGCAGCCTATTTCCAGTGAACCCTTTGATGGGCCATAAGGCGGCGGAGCGCAGCTGGCCGCTCGCACACCGTCGCTCACGGCCGGCCACCGATCTGGCCCGCGGGACGCCGGCTCTCGGCCGACCCCCCGATGACGTCACAGCCGCCTGGCTGACGTCACCGGGGGGATTAACTGGCCATCAGCGGGCGGCGGGCGCCCCGGCCGGCCGGCGCTCAATGGGCCCGGACGTGGCGGCATAATGGCGGCGCGACAGTTTTGCCCCAACTGGCGGACATCGCGCCAGATTCGCCTCCTCTGCTTAATGCCAATGACGGAAGGCTTTAAATGGATGGCTGAAAAATCTGAGCGCAAACCTGAGATTTTTCAGAATAAACGTCCAAACCGTTTCTAGATAAATTTGACTTGACATGACAGAACTGAATAATGTTAAAATTATGCAGAACGTTTCTTCAGCTTTGTGTGACGTTGATGCATCTTTATCTCTATGGCTCTTACAAAAATATTCAAGAGGCTCTAAACGCAGTGCTTTTTAGGTACAGCCACAGATTTGTACAGCCTATTTTAGGATGGCATCTTCATCTATGGTCGTAAAAAATAAGTGCTATGTCCGGTTTCTAAGCCCTGAAAATTAAAAGTTTCGGAATTGTGGCGCTAAATATTCATTTATCGGACGGCTTGAAGAGCTTTATGATTGCGCACACTCAGAAATTATGTCATTTTCTCACGAACCTTGGCTTTGATTATCGTTCTACAGATGATTGCATACAGATCCTGTTGACGTCTAAAAACGAGGATACGATAGGCGTTATCACAAGTGTATTCGCGGCCATTGGGGCGACGTAAGAAAAGAAGAAAACAACTGGCCCCAAGAACTTTATATTATCAGTTAGCATGCACATTTTCCTTGATATGTAGAGAATTTACCATTAATTGTTAGAGAAAATTGCATTTAAAATCTTCCATTTATGCTTTTTTCATCGTTTGCACAGTATGTTCTTTTACTAAGCTAGAAACACTAATTATAAATAGTTCCCGCATCATCAAGAACAATAGGAAAGGCTTGAAGTGAATACAATGATCTAAACGGTTTTGTAATCCATGTGAAGACACTTCTAAAATTGCCTGTAGAAATATTAAAGGCAAAAGTTCAACTTTTTCACAAGACGGATGGCTATAAACCTATTCAACGTGTGACAACTCAGCCGGTATTTCGTCGCCTACAGCCCAGCTTTTCCTAGTGACCGATAGAGGCGCTGCTATCGATGTCCGCCCGTGCCGCCTAACGAAACGTCCATATTTCCAGAAGAGTTTTTGAGGTACCTAACCTTACACATTTAGGTATATACAAGCAAATCGAAAACGCGGGTGACTTGACGTCAAACCTTTTGACATCGAAGAAACTTGGAAAGAACGGCATCGGCCACTTCTTTGCAATCATAACCCATTTCAAACAGCTCAAAAACAAAATCTTTCAAATACCTACAGGAATTGCGAGCCTTCCACCATACCATTTCAGCGCTCCTCTCCATTCTTACAAGCATGTCCATTGTCACGGCCCTCAGATTCCCCCATTGGCGGGTCAGGATTTAGCTCTGCAGCCTTGAACAGGCCATTTGCCTAGCAGCAGTGATCCATGCTGGCGGTACATTCCAATCTGGCGCTCGCGGCCGGCGTCGTCCATCGCCGGCCGTGCCACGAGACGATGGGCCCGAGAATATCCGCGCCCGGAGGATGGCGACAATAAATACCCGGCTGCAGCTCGACACAGGACGCGGCCGAGCGACCGGCGGCGCCGCGCCGCCCGGTCCACGAGCCGTCGGACCGACTCGTCAGAGCCGTAACGGAGATTTCAGCTCCATGATGGGCTGAATGGGCAGAATACCCAGAGATCGACTGCAGACTGCGCTGGAGACTGAGCCGAGAGTGTGATGTTCTTTGTCTCTTCGGGAAACTAGTCCGCGAAAGAAGGAGGAATTGCGGCTCTATAGAGCGGTGCGAGAGCGAGCCTTACGCCTTCACCCTCCAAGTCACTTTGAGAGAGCTGTGAACTCTACAAAATGGCCGTGGCGGATATACCGTCGGGTCCCAGCCCCCGATCCAGCTCTGAATCGGACACAGTCGGCTCCGCGGCTCTCAATCGGCTTCTTTCAACTAGGCCGATCCTCAGTGATTACCAGCTGACCGGGGTGGCGCTGCCCGGTCAGCTCAGCTCGGTCCGGCCCTTCCAGCCGAAACAGCCCTCTCAGTCGGCTGCACTCTGTCATGGTTAGGGGATTCCTCTTTACGCTGACGAACGGACGCTTCTTTTTAACTCTGTCTCCCCTGTATTCCACGACTTTGACGCTTTTTCTTTTAGAAGACAACTCGAAATTCTCCTAGAAGGTCAAGGTATTGGCGGCGGCGACAGTGGGGTACTGGTCAGGGCCATTCAAAATTATATCATTGGCACTGGTAGGTTCATATAAAAGGCACGCTTTAGGAAGTAATTTCTCTGAGCATAAAATAGGCGGACTGGCGACGGGCGGCTCTGCTTTTGGTCTGCTGGCTGGGCGGTCGGGGGCGGTGGTTGTGCCCCCTACCTTGTAGGGAACTGGGAGAGGTGCTTAGAGATAAGCGCTTGTCGCTTCTGCACCAATCCGTGTAAATGTATGACTGCAAAAATGTTTTTTTTTTTAATAAATAAAATATGAATCAATCAATCAATCAATCAATCAATCAATCAATGGGTCTGAACTCTGAATATGGCTCTGAATACTGATGGCTCTCACGGCTAGTGCAGTGCTAAATCACACCTCAGTTCGCATCACGCGACCGAGCCAACCCTGCGTTGACTCTTAAAGGCCCCATTCAGCCCTCTGCCAGCCTTCCGTCTGCCCTAACCGCCCTCTGTTAGCCCTCCGTCTGCCCTAACCGCCATCTGCCGGCCCTCCGTCTGCCCTAATCGCCCTCTGCCGGCCCTCCGTCTGCCCTAACCGCCCTCTGTTGGCCCTCCGTCTGCCCTAACCGCCCTCTGCCGGCCCTCCGTCTGCCCTAATCGCCCTCTGCCGGCCCTCCGTCTGCCCTCTGTCTACCCCAGCCACCGTTCAGCCGGCCCTTTCCGGCCAGTGGCGGCGCCTGGAGAGACTCGCCCCCCTCTGCGGCGTTCAGCCGGCCCTTTCAGGCCGGTTGCGGCGTCTGAAGAGGCTCTCAGTGGAGCGTATCTCTCGACTGGAGAGGGCCCGGCACTCGGAGGACGTCGCCCTAGGCGGGCTCCACGGCCGGCAAAGTGGCCCACTCAAGGCGGCACAATGAAACCGGCCACAGTTAAAGACGCCAATGTTTCACAAATACTGGCCGTGAAAGTGCACCACTTCACAACACTTGAAAGGAGAACGTCTCTACCGTTCTCAACCGTTAACAAAATGACGGCTATATGTTATTACTTGTTTGGATGAAATGTACACAGTTTTTACATAGGTGCATGCCATACACCTATAATGTTTTTAACATGTAAAGTTGCCAGCCCTGATATATCTTTTTTGACGAAAAACTGTAGCCAACTTGTCGCCCGAGACCCAAATGACCTTTTGCCACGGCCTTTGACAGCTCGGCTGAGATGTTAATAATCAGAGCTCCTCATGCTAGGAGGGTGATCGATATCTCATGAACGGGAACAATAGAATCTGATATATAGTTTCGTGTCATCATCCCACTTCAGAAGTTTTTTTAAAGTTTTTAGAAGTTCAGTTGCTGCCAAGTTATAAAGGGACGCCGGGCGCATTGACAGACACAGAGTGAGCGCTCTGTCTGGTCTCCGCCGACCAGTCGGTGTCAGCTCACCTGTTTCTTCCACTCGATGACGTAGGGCACGTGCTCGTCGTTGGGAAAGTTGAGCGGACACTCGAGTATAACGTTCGACCCCACCAGGGCGGTCACGTGACGTCCAGTTGGCACCTCCAGGCCTGAAACGGTACACGGCAAGTCAACGTCACGCAAAGTCAACATTATAAAAGTGGCGCATCGAACCTTGCAAGGAGTGCATGAAATCACGATTCTGTGTGCTTGAGTCATAGGTCAGTGATCTGACCTGACCCGAAAATGCGGTTGGTGTCAAAAGATCCAGCTTGAATCAAAGGTCAGGTATGCCAAGTTTCATCTCTCTATCGCCGGCTTGTTCGGAGCTAAAAAAAAACCTATGGGGGCGGCAGCCGCCCCCCCCCCCTCGGCCGGCGAGGGTTAAAACGCAGTGACCTAATTTCAAGCTGTTAAAGCCGCATTCAGGGCAGAGGAGACCGTTCAAATGATTTATCCACCCCTTGGGCAAGGCACTGGGCGTGATATGGGCCTTGTGCTAATGTATTTGTGTGCTCCTATGTAGCCTTGTTTCCCCACTGTCGAATTAGCCCCTAATTGGACAGGTTCCCGGCACAGGGACCTGGTATATTATGCCTGCTGCTGTGCGGAATTTCACAGACGCTTGCTGCTATGTAATGAGACATATAGCTAAGGCAATAAGCCCCAGCACGAGTAAATAGCTCTAGCCGTGATGACTGCATTCGCAGTAAGGTCACCTTACCTATGTGAGTTCATAACTAACGCAATCTTTAATATATGTTCCAAATGATGACTTGTCAAATAACCCATACCAATAAGTTCCTACCATTTGCTGTGTTAATCGAAGGCAGAACAGTAAGTGCAAAGAAACTAACACAATTGTGCCAACTGGGATGTTTCCATTTGAAGATTGTCTTTTTGCGGAATGTAACGCTGTGGATATTGATAGATAATCTTCTTTCAAAGGTCGCCGTGGACGGCCTTAACTTTAGAAATAATCCCCAGTTGGATGGTTGTGACTTGTGAGCTTTAAGTCTGGATTTCCCGTCTTCCTATATGGACAGATGTCACCAAGGTTGCGTCAGAACGCAGAGCACTGTTGGGTTTTGTTTTAAACGGCAGCTTACTTACTGGAGTAACCTTATATTATAAAGTTCAGGTTACGTGTGGCCGAGTTTTGAGGCCGTGAGGCGCAGACTAGACTCTCACACCAGCGCCCATAATCTGGGCGATCGATGCCGAGAACTGATGGCCCATTTACAGATGCTAGTGGCCCAAAGCCGCCACCATTTATCAGGCCACTGAGACCGGCGCGGGATTTACCTAATTAGAAACGGAGTCAGAAATTCTCCGAGAAGGCAAGTACTTATGCAGGGTATGCTGGGTGAGACCTTTGTCGCGTGGTATTTAATATAGCGTATTGAAAATGGAGATGCTTTGTAGCTAGAGTCAGCCAGAGACGTAATCCGTCAAAAATGTACCTAAGGACCTTTTTTGTGATGTTAGTGTCGCCAAGGTCATCAAAGTGCTTTTCAAAACGCACAAGGTAGAGGGATTAATTGAAAAAATCCAAGTATATAAGCACATTTTGTTTGTCGGTCGATTTCCTGAGAGCATATTTCTTTCTTATTGAGTGTGCTTACTCTGCGGTGAGAGTATTGGAGCTTCCCCCTACCAGGCGTCCAAAGGGCCCTCCCTACTCACCGACAGAGGGTGTGAGCACGAGCAGGGCCGCGCACATCAGGAGCATGACGTGGGCCGACACCGGGCGAGGCCGAGTCGCGCCATCAGCGGCTCGGCTGGCACATCTGACGGCACGGGGGGGGGGGGGGGTCAGCAATCATACATTAAACAGATACAAATTACAAATTACTTTTGACGCAGCACGCCAAGACAAGCTTAGCACCTAATTCTAACAATGTGTATAATCACGCAATATTGTTTTTTCTAGACGTTATTGGCCGGAACACACAATGGGAATAGGCCGGTAACTCAACCGCTATTTGGCGAACTTTAACTCAGGAATGGAGGGCTAAAATTGTAACCAAACCCAGATTTACATTCATACATCAGTTGCAACCTCGGCAAAACGGTCAGAATCTTTCGATCGATACATAATCCAATCCCATCTCGCGCCGCCGAGCGTTGCCGGTTTGCTGTAATGCGGCACAGTATAACTTCAGGCGTTACTGCTGCTGCCATCTGGCGACGGTGTTAGAAAGCGCGCGCTCCAGCGTCGGCGGCAGTATCTTGTATTGCGGCACAGTATAACTTCAGGCGTTACTGCTGCTGCCATCTGGCGACGGTATTAGAAAGCGCGCGCTCAAGCGTCGGCGGCAGTATCTTGTATTGCGGCACAGTATAACTTCAGGCGTTACTGCTACTGCCATCTGGCGACGGTATAAGAAAGCGCGCGCTAAAGCGTTGGCGGCAGTATCTTGTATTGCGGCACAGTATAACTTCAGGCGTTACTGCTACTACCATCTGGCGACGGTATTAGAAAGCGCGCGCTCAAGCGTCGGCGGCAGTATCTTTTATTGCGGCACAGTATAACTTCAGGCGTTACTGCTGCTGCCGTCTAGCGACGGTATAAGAAAGCGCGCGCTGAAGAGTCGGCGCCAGTCTACTGTATTGCGGCACAGTATAACTCCAGGCGTTACTACTAGTGCCATCTAGCGATAGTAGTCGGAAGCGTGCGCTCAGGCCACGGCACCGTGTAGTTTGCCGAGTGCTAGCCGCCACGAGACGTTAGTTATACACATTTCTTGTAGTTTTGATTCCTGTCACTACGCACAATACTTCTATTCATTTCCTCCAATCGGTGGTTGAACGACACTCGAACTGGTGTATCAATCAATCCATTTGACGACATTACACTGAGCTAACACACGCACAAGGGCCCTGTTTACCATTGAAGCATGTTCCATTCAGTGGCTGAGCCGACACCGACGGTTGTTTGCACTCCGCCACGACCCCGCAATGTCCGCCCCACAGAGGCGGTGGTTACACAGTGGTCCGCCGCGGAGCTCACATTTCAGTTAGTTCATTGTGAGCCGCGGCCGCAGTGTCCGACACCGCTCCATTCAGACAGTACTAGCGCTGTAAATCTCTGTCACTGGCGTACACACGCTGATTACACGGATAATACCGCGACATACACCGTGCAGTATGTTCATGTTACTGGAGAATGAAGAGGTTATTTATTTTGTCGACTGTAATTGGCGTTAGGTATGCACCTAGTAATCAGGCCAAAGTAGGCGCTTTTGTATGCTGGATCAAGATTAAAAAGGAAAATATTACAAGAAATGAATTAGGTATATAAATTTTAGAAAATACATGCTTATGCTTAACCCGCGCCCCACTGGGGTCTGCGTATAACACGCCCTACTGGGGGGGGGGGGCTATTCATAGCCCCCCCTCCTAACTCCGAAACTACTGGGCCGATCGTCGAAATTCAAACGGCGTCTGATAGCCCCGGAAAAACTGTCGAGCGAAACCTAATTTCATTGACCTCGAGGTCACCGATGACGTCACAGGTCAGGTCAAAGTAAAAATTATTAGCATTTTGCTTGTTCACGTTTTGGGCTCTGGCCGCCGTCTTACAAGTCAGATCAGGCTCATTTTTGGATCGCACACTCGTGAACAGATGCTCTAGATACCCCGAGGGTACCAAACTTGTACTTTGATTTTCAGGTCAAGGTCAGGTCATCACAGGTCACGAAAATATTATATCATGCGTCGGTCACGTGACACATGTTTCATGGTCCATTTAGGCCAGAGATTTCGAATGTGATGTCGTCTGTGTCATTCGAGGTCATTTTGAGTCGAATTTAGCTTAGGTCAGGTCACTTTCAGGTCAAAAAAGGTCAAATTTTGAAGTTATAATTTTTCAACAAAAAAGGTGTCTATTGGATGCAGTTTGAGCTCAGGAACACGATGGTGCTATTTATATTGGCGTACGATGTCAAATACGTGCTGAAAAATTGATTTGAAAAATTAATAATTGTGAATTATTTGCAATAATGCGTAAAACTTGGCCATTTTTGAAGATATTTAGCTAAAACTTGCTAGAGTTAGTCATAATAATGCGTTCTATCACATATATTCCGTTTTTTTTCGAAAAGTCAAAACTTTTTGAAAAAAATGTAAAAATATAAATTTTGGATTTTATTATATCAAATTTTCGAAATTTTCAAAATTTTGAAAATCCGAGATGGCAGTTTGATAGCGCAGTCTATTCTGAGTCCTCTCATGCAAAGAAATTGGATCTAGCTTAAAAACTGAGCTCTTGGGAGCGATTGCCGTGGTTCAATGTTTTGCGTCGAAATCGGCCGAACATGACGTCACTCTGACGTCATTTCCGGCCAACCTATGGTAGCTACGAAGTTAAAATTTTGACACAAGGTGTCAAATTGATGCAGCCGAAGGTACTGAAAGTTTGGCGTCGATACGTCAAGCGGTTTGGAAGTTATCGCAGAAAAACGGGAGGGGGGCTATAAATAGCCCCCCCCCCAGTGGGGCGCGGGTTAAAGTAAACACTAGCAAATCACAAGTGACCACATAATTCCGTTTTTTGCGGTCGGTATGCTACTTCCTGTTTTACACTCCAGCAAATTTCATCGTTATACAATATACATTAATTATAATTATTCCCTCTCTCCTCATTGGTGAAATTCGATGATTTCCACGCCAATTATCGAATTTCACCAATGATGTAGCATCTGACCGCTCGTTGATCCGGCCAAAATTCTTGACTCGGCCTCAGTTGCAAAGGCTATCTATTTGCCCATACAAAAAAAAAAAAATGGTAAGTGACGTTCACTTATCCGACCACAGGTCGATGATTGTGGACTATTAATGCGTTCCATATGGTCCATGTGTTATAATCGCTGCCATTTGCTGAACGCACCCCATTATCTTCAATGCACTGGCATCACTCATGGTCACTGCCGATGTCTGATCTATGGGTGGCTGTCAGATTTGATGACTGCTGTCAGATTGGACGCCTGTCACCCCGCACATACCCGCTGAGGTCGTCGTGTCGCCACGTCAGACTGCGTGGGACTGCACCTGGCTGCCACTCGGATATTGACCCAGCGCACAATATGCCGCGCGCCTGCCGTGACTGGCGGTCCTCAATCGAACCGTGCCGCGTTTAAGTGCCGCCCCGATGGCTTACCTAGCAGTGAGCCTCCCCCTACCCCCAATTTAGCCGCGGAACTCTACATTTCCTGTGTCAATTTAACTTTCTTCAGCTTTTCTTATATTGCACAAAAAAATATCGAATGTCCATACAATATTACATTAAAATGTTTTGCAATTGATTACAAACATCGTAGCCATAGATTACTCCATATGTTATGTCGTAACATAACAGAAGTGCTTCAAAACAACCGTCTGGGCCAGGTAAACGTATTTGAAGGATAGATTCTGTCTGAGAAATAAAGCATATGCGTCGATAGCTCTCAGCACTCTGATCGTATCGTGTAGGTACTTCACACGTGATCATTGTCCCACAGCGTTCAGCTAACCCTTTCCTAAAACAGATACCTATGACGCTAATAAATTTCATCGAAGATCCAAAGTGCTCTCAATTCTCCAGATGGCTTCGTTTTCGGCACTTTTCCAATGTGGCAAACACCGCCATATTTTAGATCTCTATCTTCTACGGCGTCCTAAAGCGTTCCTCAAATCCACCTTCCGCCTTGGGCCGGTAGCCAATCCAGAATGGAAAGAGTGGCGCCGGTTGACCTCAGACGGTGGCCTCTGAGCTGACCTCTGACCTTGCTCCACCGGCCGCCGGTGTGACCTCAGGTGATGCCCGGCCGGCGGGCAGACCGACGGACGGACAGCGGCGGCGGTGGCAGCGGCAGCACGGCCGCTCCGCCGCCGCCGGACTCGAGTATTGATCGATCAGAGACCGGCGGAACCTGCCGCCGCCGCGGGCCGGGTCGGGCCGGGCCGGGGCAGCGCTCCGCCGACCCGGCCCGCTCCTCACATAGTCGGCACCCTAAACCACACCCACGCACCCGCCCACACGCACACACTCAAACCTACGCAGCACAACAGACACCCCTCCCCCCCCCACACACACACAATCCTACATAGCATCACAGACACCCCTTCCCCACACACAAATGCACACAGGACAGGGATCAGGTCAGAGGCGAATTCTTATGGAACCTCGCCAAGCCAACCATCCGGTTGATGACCATTGTCGATGGCGAGTGTGTGTGTGTGAGTACCGCCGACACAGGGGGACCGGAGCGTCCTCAGTCGGAGCCGCGGGTGTGTGAGCGGTGCCAACAGGGGCCGCCTCGGGAGCGGCGCCGCCGTCTCCCACCCGCCGATCGGTCGGACAACGAGCCGCCAATGGCCGGGAGCTGGCGGCCGGCCAGCGCCCGCGCCCCTTCCATGTCTCGTTTATTACGGATGTGGCCGCGCTGTCGGGCCGTCTTCCTTCCTGCGCCCGTGGACACGGCCTCATTTGTCCGCGCCAGGAATGGCCCGGAAACCGGCGGCCGGCTATATTAAATGATCTTTGTGCTGCAGCGGTAATGAACCGCGAAAGAGGTGCTCTATCTACGGCACTGAAAGATTCAGCGGTGACACAATCCGCCGAGGTCATCTCTATCGTGGTGATAATGGTGCCTAACTAGTGCAAAAAGTTGTGCGAAAGTAAAAAGGCGGCTAAGGGCCACAAGTGGCCACACCTGTAGATCTGCGAAGTTTGTGATTTATGAGGAGAGAAAGCTCTCCGTAACTAACACTTTTGAGTTGGCACTTCCGCGCTGGAGCTTGGTGTCCG